AGAGCAGTTCCCTGTCTGAAAGATTGTATCAGGAGCCAGCAGGCTGCAATAGGCTTCAAAAAGGAACACTTGAAGATCGTTACAATGTTTTGTGGAGAAGAAAAGTGCCTACCTTCTGCTTTTGCAAGCGTGTAGTTTATATATACGTGTTTTACGTTGTTTCTTTAGATGTTCTCTTTTGTCTTTAATTTAACTTTTAAAACTAAAACCTATTGATTTTATCGTAATTCTAGCATAACAGTTTCCTTGGTTAAAGCATTTTATTGTTTCCTCAGGAAATCACAAATTGACACAAACAGCAAAAGTCATCATCAAAATCTGTGAGCATGAGGTATGTGTGCTCCAATTAACTTAATTGTTCTGTATTTTTAAAATATTCCATTTCATGTATTTGTGAGTGAAATAATATGTGTTTGCTAATGTGCATATTGCATAACTATAATTTTTGTAGGCTTTCTTATGTTTAGATATGCATATCCACGGCCTACAGAATGATTTTTGGTAAAGGCGTTGATAATGTGTCTTCCATTAGGATATTCACTTTCTATAATTAAGATTTGGGGGGGGAGGGAAAGTGGACATATGGATTCTGTGCAAAGACACCTATATTCTGAATGAATGTTTGGAGTTGGAAAAAGAGACCCACATCTTCTGATTTATAGATGCATTTTTGGTGGTTCTTTTGCTGTAACAATATGAAATTCCTCTAAATAAATGCAAAAGTGACTGCATGCACTCTTAACTGATCATTTGCACTGATTTTATTTCAGTGGCAATCCATAATGTTAAGTATTACAAAAACTTGCCATTCTAAATGTAATGTATATGAACAATATTTAATTGATTTTAATTATCTGGTGATCTGACCCTTTATATTTATAGAAGTGCTTTCTCCATCCCCGGGTTGACACAGCGATGTCCATGATTCACATAAATTCTGAGAATGTATCAATTCTTAATAGAACAAAACAGATGTATAACCTGAGCCTGATATCTTAACTAGTTTAAATAATATGAGCATAAGGAGTAAAATATTTTATTTTTGGTTCTGCATAAATTATGAAATCAAATGCCCAGTTGAGGTTATATTTTTGCCATTGGAAGAAATGATAAATAATTCTTTATCTGAAATAAATACAACATCAAACAAAGGATGTATTTTTTTTCCTGGAGTAAATGACAGTAAGCATACAATCTGAAGAGGGATGTTAAAAATGTGACTGATTTATTAACTAGAATGCATACATTACAGGGGTAAAAAAGATGGGTGTCTGTCAAAACAGTGTTGATTTCATAGCAAGCAAGTGTTGATTTATGACGACAAATTTGTGGAAAAATGATGCTAGCAAACTAGACAGGCCAACATAATAATACTGATCACACTTTGGACTCTGCTTAAGCTCTTTGATAACTTTTTGCTTTTTCTTTCCAGATGAATGAAATTGAAGTATGTCCGGAATGTTATTTAGCTGCTTGCCAAAAACGAGAAAATTGGTTTTGTGAGCCTTGTGTAAGTTAAGGATTATAGTAGTCTAGCTAATACATTAAACTAGCAGTTCTCATTTGACTGTTGCTTGTTATCCCCCCATTGTTTTAAACCTGTGGTGGTTATTGAGTCAAGGAAAGCTGCTGTAGTTTACTAAGTAGTTTGTGCTTGTGCATCATTTTCTTTGTGGAGTCACACTATGTCAAGATATTTAGCTGTAAAATTGCATGCTCTCACAAAAGGATTGGTTCGATCAGAAATAACTGTAAAGGGTGTCAGCAGCCAGTTCGCAACTTCTCTGTCCTCAAATATAGGATATCTGCTCCTGGGTCATCTGTGCATGCTTGCATGCGGTACTTGCACTCAGGGTAAGATTTCTGAGATGTGAATGTCTCTTTCTGCAGGTGTGAATCTGAGAATTAAGACTTGATTTTTCTTTCATGACCTATTAATAGGTTGTCTGTTTTCTGTTTTTGTTTAATACTGCACCAAACTTGGGAAGACTCCTTAAGATTCTTAAGAAGTAGTATATAATCCATCAAGTTCTGTCTTGGACTTAAGTGAAAATTAGAGAATGTGAAAGATTGGCCCTAGCCTAACTTACGTTATGCTACATATTTGGAGAGGACTAATCAAAAATGCATGAATAAAAAAGTGCAATTACAATGTGTTTAATTGAGGTACTGTCGTGTTTTAGCCCCAGCCAGCAACTAAGCACCACGCAGCTGCTCACTCACTCCCCCTACCGCGATGGGATGGGGGAGAGAATTGGAGGAGTAAGTGAGAAACACTCCTGGGTTGAGATACGAACAGTTTAATAATTGAAATAAAGTAAAATAGTGATGATAATAGTAACAATATAATAATAATAATAATATACAAAGCAAGTGATGCGCAATGCAATTGCTCACCACCCGCCGACCGACACCCAGACAGTTCCCGAGCAGCAATCGCTGCTCCCCAGCCAACCCCCCCCAGTTTCTATACTGAGCATGATGTTACATGGTATGGAATAACCCTTTGGTCGCTTTGGATCAACTATTCTGGCTGTGCCCCCTCCCAGTTTCTTGTGCCCCTGGCAGAGCATGGGAAGCTGAAAAAGTCCTTGACTGGCATAAGCAGTACGCAGCAACAACTAAAAACATCAGCATGTTATCAACATTCTTCTCCTACTAAATCCAAAACACAGCACTATGCCTGCTGCTAGGAAGAAAATTAACTCTATCCCAGCTGAAACCAGGACAGATACTTAAGGTTTTATGTTTTTTTTTTTTATTGTTTTATTATTTTTGTCCTCTCAGGAATTATTATGCATATATCAAGTATATAGTAAAATGGAATCTTGTATTTGGCAAGTGCCTTGTGCATGTTGGGTCTTTATTGAATCTAAGTAATACGTACAATTTAAAAAAAAAAATCTTGTTGTTTATCAGATTTGAAGGTAATACTGCTTGCATTTTCTTACTGTGTATTTTGCCTTTTCCTCTAGAGCAATCCCCACCCTTTGGTCTGGGCTAAACTCAAAGGCTTTCCATTCTGGCCTGCTAAAGCATTGAGGGATAAAGACGGGCAAGTTGATGCCCGTTTCTTTGGCCAACATGACAGGTGGGAATTTAAACCACAGGATGTCTTTGGCTGTACTTAAAAAATTCTTGTTGTAATTTTGTGCTCTTAGAGTTTTCGAGTCCTGTCTTTTGAACCTTGACCCTAAGCATAGACAGTCTTAGTTTCTTATGTCTGTAGAATGTAAGTCATGTGTTTGTAAGATTAATGCATATATAATCTCAGTGAGTATGCAAGTTAATTCTGGTGTTGTGCTGCAGAGAACTGTAGTTCTCAAAGATGGAAGAGGCCAATAAAATTGCTTATGTTTTCTAAATACTATGGGAATAAACACACAATTGTAGATTTAAAAAATATAGAAAAAATGTAGAAAATGTAATCTGTGTTGAAAATACAATTTTTGCTCTGAAAGGAGTTAAGTCTTCTGTACTTGTGAACTCGCTGCGTGAAAGAAAGCCATGATGAATACGAGTTGATTTGCCATGAATTGAAAATATAAATCTATACAGTTATAAAAACAGGTACTGTAAAAAAAGCTGTATAGGGCCATGAAATTAAGTCAAAGTTTCTGGTATTTTAGTATCTTGGAAGGCATGGTTTTAGACTCTGCCTCATTTCATGATAAATAAAATCTGTCCAATACTCGTTGATAGAACTTTTCCTGGCATTGAGTTTGATCACTCTGACATGGGGTGTAAAATAGGATGTTATGTTTTTAAGAATGTGCTTGTGAAGTCTTTTTTTCCTGATGTTTTTATGTTTTTCTGCCGACTATGATAGATGGAAAGTGTTTAGTTATGGTTGTCTTACAGTTACATAGACTATTCTAATTAGCAATGTTTTGTCATAATTGATCAGTGTTTATTCATGTTTTCTGTGTTACTGGGTAGAGTAAAATAAGCTAGTGATAATCTAAGACATTCAATTTACTTACCAAAACTAAGCACAAAAGAAGAAGGTAGAGATGGTCCTTTGAAATGATCTGAGGTATGGTGCACAAAAGTTGCCAGTGTCAATCCACAGTGTGAAATGTAGTTATATTATCTTTTATTTTTCTGTTTTATATCTAGGGCCTGGGTTCCAATAAATAATTGCTACCTCATGTCTAAAGAAATTCCTTTTTCTGTGAAAAAGACTAAAAGCATCTTCAATAGTGCAATGCAAGAAATGGAGGTTTATGTTGATAACATTCGTAGAAAATTTGGAGTATTTAATTACGCACCTTTCCGGACACCATATACTCCCAACAATCAATACCAAATGTTATTAGACCCTGCAAACCCAACTGCTGGAACTGCAAAAACAGACAAACAAGAAAAAATCAAACTGAACTTTGATATGACAGCATCACCCAAGATTCTAATGAGCAAGTCTATGCTGAGCAGTAGTACTGGTCGTAGGATTTCATTGACAGATATGCCACGGTCACCAATGAGTACAAACTCATCAGTTCACACTGGATCTGATGTTGAACAGGATGCGGAGAAAAAAGCAACTTCCAGTCATTTTAGTGCCAGTGAAGAATCCATGGACTTTATTGAGAAAAATACAGGTAAAAAAGAAAAGGGGGGCGGTACAGGACCTTGCATTTGGTTGATGCACTAGTTTTATTACATGTACTTTTAAAAGACAGACTGTATTATGACTATTTTATGAAGAAATATTAGAAAAAAGATGGGTTTGACTTTCAGTATCACAGATAAGAAATAACAGTCCTTTCTGTCACATTGAGAAGGAATAAATAATCTTGAAAAGTGACCAAAACCCTTCAGTTTAAGTAGCAGGAAATAGTTGTAGCTATCAAAATGAATGGAGAGTGGAAGTAAATATAAAAAGAGTTAGAATTGTCATGATTAGGAGGTATTCTATTTAAAATTTGATAGCTCTTTTTCAAGGCAATGAGCTTCATTTATATTGTTCCCAACTGAGTCGCAAAAATTTGGTAAAACTACAGTTCCATAGGCAGAGTGGGTAAAGAGAAAAAGGAGTGTAGAATACAGAATTTGGACTTTTCACACTTACAATGTAGTCAAAGACCAAATGCTAGCTAATTTTGTGGCACTTGGGCAAGCTACTTATCTTGGTTTTTCTAATCCATAAAAGAAATTTCATCACTAGCTGAAAGAAATGATGCAGTATATTAATTAATGTGAGTGTGTGAAAACTTTGGTTTTGGTGAAAGGATGTCTTTGTGTAGAAAACTGAATCAATATGGCCCGTTACAATTTTTAGATAAAATGCTGTTTGTTTGTTTGTTTATTTATTACAATCTTATTCTTTCTAGCCAATAAAGGCTAGGCTGTGAAACTACCTTTGGGTACAAAAGTGTCTTGTGATAAGATCCTGTCCATCTTAAGAAAGTGATGACAAAGTAACTGTATGAATTTAAATATATGAAAACACTTGGATTTTTCAGTAGAGTAACATGTCAAAAGGAAGAATTCATTTTATACGTAAATTATCATGTATATATGTGTGTACATCTCTTATACATAAGGTGTAGTTAACAGGTACTGTTTTGTGTCTTAAAATACAGAGCTTTTGTTATACCACATTATTATTTCTTTATAGTAGTGGAGATATTAATGGAAAGTCACATTAAAGCTATTTTGTCAGATAAAGATAAACGAAGATGACAGATGTTACCCTAATACTCTGGATGCTTGATTATCATAGCAATTCTGGGGAATTTTTCTAACTTTTCCTTAGGCCTTACTGTCCTCTATCCTAGTGCATAGAAATGCTGGATTGGACTTAACAGCAGTTAAACTAGAACATTCAGTTTTCCCCCCTGGCATTTCTACCTGTATATTGTTACAAATGCTAACTTTTGTAATATTTACTTTATGTATAAACTTAGCTGTGCTCTTACTGGAATCTGTGTGTTTCAATTCAAATGTAAAAAGTAATTCAAGTAGTATGACTGCACTATCCTTAGACAAGAATGGTTTTATCTGGATGCTTCTGTGTATTTTGAGTGGTGTGTAGAAAATAACTTTGAAACAGCTACTGAAACAGCAGATATTGCTGCCATTTAGGAAAATATATAGACAATGCTGGATGTACTGGGGAAGAAAAAGTATCCAACAGTGAGTTTAGGGTGACATTTTCAGAGCATTAAGCAGAGATTTAACAGACAGAAATTAGTCTCTTGCTCACAAAAACTAGTCCTTTTTTTTTCCTTAGGTAATAGCCTGCAATGCTTCCCTTTCTAGACTGTTTGGCTGTTTCCAGAAGTTTGGGTTTGAAACATTATTTTATGGAGATTTTAAAGGCTCAGAACATAGGATTTTGCTTAAACTCTGTATAAATTAGAGTATTGAAGACATCTGGTTACTGATCTCCAGCTGTACTCATTAAACTTACTATGTTTTGTACTTGTAATTCTCTGTTAATGTAGCTAGAAAATGGGGTAGGTGGGTTTTTTCTGTGTTTACTTACATACAAATATATAGCAATTTAGAGTGTCAGAATTTGTTAACATCTAAAATAACCAAATCTTGAAAGCCAGAAACTTTCTGTTGCTGCAAACAAAGTGGTTTTGAGGGTAAGCACACATTTGGCCCAACTATATAGCTGCAATAAAATTATTTTCCTTACAATTTCTTTCTTTATCAAACTAGAATTAAAGGGATAGCTGTAACTTACAATGGAGGTATGACAGAGTGTTGAAATTATTAAACAAAAATCCATTCCCTGCTTGTGCAGGTTTAAAAGCTGTTTTGTCCCAGTGAATATGGCTTTGTTGTGATTATTTTTAAATCTATCTTTATTAATTTTGTACTTTTTCAGCTTCTCCAGCACCAACAAGAACGGGTCAAGCAGGGAGCTTGTCAGGCAGCCCCAAACCTTTCTCTCCTCAAGCATCAACGCCAATTTCTGCTAAGCAAGAAAGAACTTCCACTCCAGGAAGCATTCTGAATCTTAATCTTGGTTAGTCTTAACCTTTGAAAATCTAATACTGTTATAGCTGAATAAATCACAGTGGTGTCAATGCAACATAATATGAATGAACTTGCTTGTATGTGGCTTTAAATGAACAAAGGACTTTAAATGAGGCACATGTGTAATTATTGTTTTGTCAAATATGCTGTTCCTTTTTTTGTCTTATAAATGAAACTTCCTGTTATTGTTTCTTTTTGTTGATGAAAAGAAGTAGTTAAAGGATGGGGTTTTATTTTAACTGAACTGTACAAATGAATGCTTCTAAACAGCAGGTAAGTTTCTAAAGGTTGCAATTACATGAATATTGCTGCTCTTCACCCCTCAGTATCTCAAGTGAATTGCTGGCAAGGTTTTCTTGTGGTATTTAGGATTTACTAGGGCTTCTTCTTTCTTGCTGCCTTCACATCACCTCCTCACTGACCGCCCCTCTCTAGGGAGATAGATGGATGAAAGGAATTAGCAGATGTCTTGAAAATCCCTAGAAGTAAATGTTGGGATTCTGGAATTTTGAAAGATGGAGTAGGTAAGTACTAAGTTGGCAAAACAGTTCTGAAAGTCAAACGGATGTAAATGAGTTTCCTCAGTCATGCTTTGTTCCTGTGAGTATTTTGGTTCAGTTCTGGCTACTTTTTACCTCCACATGATATTACATGGAGAAACAGGATCCTGCCCCTTGGTGTTAGCCAAATACTTCAGGAAGGCTTGAGCTCAAATGCTGAATTCATGTTTTCAGTGAGTTACAGGTATTCTGATTCTGGATACAAGCTCACAAGTATATTTTCAAGTGTGTTAATCTATCTGTGTGGACATAACTATAGAATTAATTTCTTCTGCTGCACTGCAGCATTTGTCATCTTATCTGAGGTGACAATGCATTTGAAAACATGTTATGAAATATGTAGTGCTGCAGTAGTTTGAGCCACAGATGGGAGACATCAGCTGGACTATAGAGTATTTTGAATAAATAGTGTGGATCAGAAAATCCAATGTTATGGTCAACGAGCATACCGTAAAAAAACAGCTAGTATGCTTTCCAGTAGAATATAGAATCATAGAGTCATTTAGGTTGGAAAAGACCTTTAAGATCATCCAGTCCAACAATTAACCTAACGCTACCAAGTCCACCACTAAACCAATTAAGGATAGAGAAGTAATTTCAAGTAATATCAATTATTTTTTCAGCTTTAGGGGAGTTTCCTTTGCTAGACATACTCTTTGGTGCTAGGAATGAACATGGCAAGCCTTCATTTAATAGTGACAGCTGTGCCAGACATAGATCTGTCTGTGAATCCTATGGTTTTCAGATATGACTTACTGTGTCTCATTGTCATACGTACTGTGAACAGGGTTTCTCTCTGAAAAAACAAAAGTGAAAATCTGGAAAACAAAGACACTTATGTACCTTGAGCAGAGTACTACGAGGACTCTATGATTGTCCCACAATTCAGCAATAAGGAAGGAAAAATAATGAAAATAAGCCATCTGTTGTTACTGGCAGACTGGCTAAATTGAAAAACGAAGATGTGAATGACCGAGCTCTACACAGATTGCTTGGAAAAAATACATATTCCAGATAATATAGGACCTGTCCTTGTATAGCAGAGGCAGAAAAGATAGAACAGTAAGTTTGACCAAGTAAGGAGTAAAAATTTTCAGATTGGTAATGAGAAAAAGTAAAGACTTTGGAGATGAGAATGTGAAGATTTCTCCACAATGGGCTTGTCTGCCCTTTGGCTCTGTTTTCTTTTTACTAATACTTTGACATTAATGCTACAGATTGGAAATCCAGATTTCAGTGAGACCTCCTTGTAGGTGTGATAGAGAAATTTGGATTGTGAGACTTCTTTCATATATTAGGATGTAGGCTTCCCTGGGGGGCATTACAGTGTCTTGACTTCATCTTCACCCATTCTCCATTTTGCCTTCTGTTTGCATCCTGCCATGTAGTTAACTAAGGTTATGAAGGCCTTGAATCAAATTCAGTACTAAGGGTGATATAACCATTACTGCTGTGGAATTAGTGTGGATTGGGTGACATAGCACAGGAAGAAGAAACCTAATTTAGTAAACATTTCCAATACAAGGAACAAATTTTTCAAAAGTACTGAAATGACTTAAAACCTTCATTTTTATTTTCAAAACTTACACTGCACTGAAAGTGATAGAGTTTGTATTATGTTTGTTCGCTTCCAGTATGAATATGTGACATGAGGAGTGTGAAATTCAGTATTACTTGTATGACCGTTTCACTGGGACTATAAAGGATGGTTGAGTGTTATTTAGACTGGATTTGTGTATGCTATAGTGCGTATATATTACAAGCCAGGATGATCCAAATTATAGCCTGTATATTTGGCTTGTGGGATTGCACAACACAAGTTGCTGCCTCTCTCTAGGAAGAGACGAGGAACTGCTATTTTAGCAGTAAGGAAAAACTGCATGAACACTTGAATTGTTCCTTCTGTACCTGCTCTGTCTGTAATCTAGATTCTATTTGCAACCTGATAGGAGATAGAGTGGCCAAGCCTGATGGAGACAACTGTACCGCTGGAGTTCAGTCATTGCGTACTATGGCTCTTAAAATTTAAGTGTGGAATGTACCTTGATATTAAGTTCAAATTTGTAAAGAATGTCTGGTCAGAGGAATCATTGTCTCAGCCTTTCGTATTTATTTCACTTTGCTCTGAGTTGTGCATCAAAAACATCTTGTAAATGTATGTGGGGTTTGGTTTTTTGGGTTGGTTTTTTGGTTGGTTTTTTGTTTTTTTTTTTTAAGTAAAATAAGGCAATAATGTGGCATCTTTAACTGCTCCGGAATGAAATTCTAAACGAAGCACAAATGCACACTGTGCCAGTGTTGCCTTTTGTCTTCTCTATGGCCTCTGTCCTTTTCCAGCATTTGGCATCGGCTACCATGAGCCAGTTCTGGAGCTAAACTGGCCAAACCTAATTCTTCTCTCCATTCCTTCCCTTTTCTTCATGGCCCCTTCCTCCTCCCCGAAACAAGCAACTAACTCCAGACTGGTTTAGTGCTCTGTGCACTAATGGAGTGTCAGCAATGTTGGCAAACAGTGAAGGATAGGACTATGGGACAGTAACCTCTGAAATTGAAAAATTGAAGCAAAAATGTGAAACTGAGTTGCTAAGACAGTTTAAGTTTTGGCAATGTAGTCTGTACTCTTTGCAGACAGATCTGTATGTTTCAGAGTGAAAATTCTCTGCATGTATAGGAGAACTCAAGAGAAGATTTTGCTAACATATTGAAAAATTTATTATTTTATCTTAAACTTATTAATCTATGTAGTGTAACAATCCACATTTTTGTTCCTAATCTCATGACTTATCTTTTGAATTTTAAATGGTGACTATAAGGATTTTTATTCCTATTTAATTTTCTCTGTGAAAGTATTACTACTAGTAGTAAATAACAGCAGTAGCTGACTAGAAGTGCTGTTGGACAGTTTATAGACCTGAATGATGATTTCTTGATAATTCACATTGACAGAGAAAACATCCACATAATTGATGCATGTGAAATACGTAGTATCAGAGATGAAGTATCCATTGTTTGTAGAAAAGTCATTTTAGAATTATTATTTAGCCCATAATTATAAAAGAATTGAAATTGTTTCAGATTTTTGCATTGTCACTCACTAAGATTCGTCTTATCTGGGTAGTGAACTCTTTTCTTCTTGTAAAATATTTTTCTTAGTTCGTCCTTCTTTTTGTAGATCGTAGCAAAGCTGAGATGGATCTGAAAGAGTTGAGTGAGTCAGTCCAACAGCAGACCACTCCTGTGCAACTCATTTCACCAAAACGACAGATACGTAGTAGGTTCCAGCTTAATCTTGACAAGACAATAGAGAGTTGTAAAGCGCAACTTGGTAAGTATATCTCAAAAATAGAATGGACATCTGAAGGATACACTTCAGGAAATTTTGAATTTGAGTGTAAAAGAAGTTTTCAAATAGTAAAACCTTAAATATTTTATGCATTAAAATAAGAGGATATTTGAACTCTGAGTCAAGTAGAGTGCACTGTACTAGTTTATTTTAAAATACAGTGACACCTGATGTTCCAAATTTTTGTCAAAAAGTTTTTATCTTTTTATCTGCTTTTTTACCATTCTGATGTAGATAGTGTGACAGAATTATAGGCTTAATATTTTCTTTGTAAATTGAAAAATTCAAGAATTGTACCTAACTTATGTCAGTTGCGCAAATTAGTATATCCAGTCACACAGGAACTGAATGCTGTTAGAAACATTAGGGTTATCTAGAACTTAATTAAAGACTTTCTAGGCACTAAAAAAATTCGAGATTCTTCTCACAAAACTTAGGCAGTCTAAAATTGATTCTGCAGACATGCATCTAAGTAACTTTAATCAGGTGAATAGTATTACTGATTTTAAGGTGGTTTCTTGTGGATAAAAATAATTCCCCTTTGAATTTGCCAGCATTGGTCCCAAGTTGAACAAAACAGCTTGCAGGTAGTAGGAAAAAAGCAGTGAAAGGTGGGCCATTGAATGAAATAGAAATATGAATTGGAATATGTGGAATGTAATTCTTACACATTCTGGTATTGAGATCGGGCACTAAGGGACGTGTTTATAGCTTAAGGACTGACAGTTAAGGTAATGGTATGTATATACACTTTGTTCCAGTCTATAGAGTGGTTTTTTTGGTAATGTCAGTCAGTCTGATGTCAGCATGGAATGTACTTTCCTCCCCACGATTAGGAATAAATGAAATATCTGAAGCTGTTTATACTGCAGTAGAACACAGTGACTCTGAAGATTCTGAAAAATCTGACACCAGTGACAGTGAATATAGTGATGAGGATCAGAAATCAAAGAATGATCAAGAAGATGGAGAGGACAAGGAAGGTACAAGAAGTGACAAAGAATCATTGACCTTGAAAAAAAAACCTAAGCCCCCAGCACAAAATGAAGACAAGGAGGAACTTAAAAGCACAAGTCCAGAAGTGGAGAAAACAGATGACCCAGTCAAAGAAAAGGCAATTACAGACACTGAAAAAGAATTTTCTGAAAAGGGAAAAAGTTTACAGCATCCTGCAAAAGAAAAACTGAAAGGTAAAGATGAAACAGACTCTCCAACTGTGCATCTAGGACTGGACTCTGATTCTGAGAGTGAACTTGTCATCGATCTAGGAGATGATCATTGTGGCCGTGAAGGAAGGAAAAACAAGAAAGAATCTAAAGAACTTCCTTCTAAACAAGATGGTAGGATGAAATTCTTTCCTTCCTTTTTTTCTTCTGTTCTGTAGGGCTGTGACTGAAACCAGAGCTGTTACCTTTATTTTTACATTAAGATAAAAATACCTGTACTAAAACAATTTTTAGGAATGATTTTTCATTCTTTAGGACTATGAAAAAAATTTTCAGTCTTCATTATAGTTTCTCATTTAAATAAAATATGTTTCATTGAATTTCCTTTCACCAGTGTAGAACTATGAATATCTGTAATATTTGTTTTGTGACAAATGTAGAATTTATTTTGCAATTGTTATGACTTTCAGTTGAATCTTCACATTTCATAGACCTCCCAAAATTGCAGGTATTAAGAAGTTGGAATTTATCAAACACACAAATTGCATAAGGTCCCATTGAAATCAATGTAAATGCTCTCAGTAGTAATCAAAAGAGCTAAATCACATGTATTGATGTGTTGTCCCTGAGATATTGCCCCTTGTTTCTGTGTGTTGCTAGAAGAGGAAAGCAATCTCAATTAATGATTACAGTGCTTTTGCTAAGCTTGTTCTGCATGTTAGCCTTTTGACAAAACAAAATAGAAAACCAAATTTAAATGGTTAGATTGAAAAATATTTTATTCTTCATATAACTTTCTCTTCTTGTCTATATCTTGTAGCATGTTGGCTCAGTCATTTTATTTAAAACAATGTTTTCCATCAGTTAACTAAGCATACTTTAGAAGACAACTTAATGCTTCTGAATTTTGATTCTTAAAATGGAATTTAATGGATAAATGTTATTATGAGATAATCAAGAAAACAGGCTTATAAACTAAAAACAATTGTAATTTTGGGGAGTTTATATTGACTAATTCTTGTTCCATTTAAAAATTTATTAAGCAAGGCAGCTTTATGAATTTCAAAACCACTGATTCATGTATTACTAGTGGCCTAAACCAGTGAAGGTTGAAATAAGTAATCTGAAAATTTTATTTTGATGTAGAGGCAGAAGAATAATACATATTCTGAGAGCAATTAAAAGTGGATTTATATATGTAGACCTATATGAATATATTCTAGACATAACTTGTGTCCTGTCCGTGATTCCAAGGCCCCTACCTTTACTTGTGGCTATCAGATATTAAAATGCCTTGGTCCAGAGAAGAGATCTGATGCATGCAAATCTGAAGGTCTTTGTGCCCCTTTCCAGAACCCTGTCAATGCAGCAGCCTTCTCTTTCAGATATGTTTCTCCTGGCCACAGCTTTGGAAGAATCATCCAGTTCCTAAATTCATCTGATATATAATAAACTCTGGAGGATTTTTAGTGAACATAGATATCTTGAATATATTGTGTATTAGGTTGTCAGTGCCAGTTCACCTTTGTTTAGAAAGTTTTTAGTATGCTGTTCCTTCAGTTGTTGTTCAGTTATTGTTCCTTTCAAATGTATTTTTCTCCTGAAGGAAACTGGGATAACAGGTGTAAGTGGTAACCCAGAAACATCCCAACAAATGCTAACCTCTCACATATCTTCTGAAGGAGAGCAGGCTGGTTTTCTGGATTTTGTACTTTTTATTTTGTTTTGCTTCATGGCTGGTGCTTCTGAATTGCCACCAACTTCAACTAGACTGAATTTCCTTGTAGAATATCGAAATGAGTTTACTTGTAGAGTATCAATTACCTTTTGAGGAAAATAATTCAAAGTAGACTGGAAGGTGCCTATGGCTCTTCCAAAGACGAGGTGGAAAATTATGAATTAGATGTGCTGGTGAAAAGCTGGCATTACATTTTATGTTTGTTTAGTTGTAGGTAAAACTCCACCTTCCTCCAGTGCAAGCACTCAGCCTCTACCAGAAACTCCAGTACTTACCCGCTCTGCAGCCCAGACTCCACCAGCCGGTGTGACAGCAACTACTAGTGCTTCTTCTACTGTTAGTGCTCCATCTGCAGCCACTGGAAGCCCTGTGAAAAAGCAGAGGCCTCTGCTGCCTAAGGAAACTGCCCCTGCTGTGCAGCGTGTAGTGTGGAATTCTTCAAATAAATTTCAGACATCTTCTCAGAAATGGCACATGCAGAAGGTGCAGAGACAGCAGCAACAGCAGCAGAGCCAGCAGTCTCAGTCACAGCAACCTCAGTCCTCTCAAGGGACAAGATATCAGACAAGACAAGCAGTCAAAGGTATACACTTTCTAACTCAATGTGCCTGTGATGCCATAATTCCCCAGTAGTGATCTCAGTGCTCCAAGGCTGCCTAACCAGAAGTTCTTCCATATAAACAAAATCTCAAAAGTGTGGTTCTACTCTGATAAGTGACTTTAAAATACAACAACTTACTCACCATACCTGCTCTTTCTGGTGTGTATTTAGAGTCATGTCTCCTTATTTTAATGACAAAAAGTTTGTGTGTGTATCTGTATAAATATTCTTGCCATTCTTAGCCATCACAGATTTGGGAGAGTGAACTGAGTTATTTTCTGGATTATATGATAAAACCATTAACTATTCCACTTGTATGATTACCACTATCACCTCAATATCTACAAACTGGATCCAGTTTTATCTGACAAGAAGCTGATCTGTGTGGTTTTTCATAGAGTATAATTTGACAACAATGAAATTACCCAGGCTACATTTGTCTTCGAAATCCCTGTTGCTTAACTCTTAACAAGACTATGATGCTAGTTTACTGAGCAAACAGCCACACCATTTTAGAATTTTTTTTGCAACTGTTTTTTTACCATCCCTTTGCTGGAGGTTTTTCTAGTAGTAGGCACATGGTAGTATAAGCCCACGCTTCTGTTGCTTCACTTCACAGAACAGCAACTTCATGTAAATCTAGCTTCATTTAGAATTTGAAGTTAATAAACTGAACTGTTTACTGGTGTGCCTGATGAATAGATATTCTCCATTCTGCTAACACTGCTGGCAAGCTAGTAATTTCCTACAGAAGAGAGGTTTAGGTAATGGGTCACATACAAACGTTTACCAGAGGCATGTTTCTCTGGTCCCAAACTGCTTTTGTGACTGTCATTTAAGAAGTGTTGAAGAAGCAGTATCTTTCTACTTGTAGACTACACAAATTTGATACAGGAATATTCAGTGAGAAAAATAAATGTGAAACTTGGTGAAGTCTTATTTTTAATAGAATCGTACTTTAGTATAAGAGCTTAATAATATGGCCTGAACTTTATATGTTGAGCCTATGAGTTTGTTTTATCAATATGTTTACTATTGAGTGCATGGTAGCAGCGTTCCATCTTAAAAATTATATTCTAGAAATATATCAGATGAAAACTATAAAATCTATAGATTCCTTATATACTGAATTGGCATGAACAAACGTACAGTACATAGAGATAAATTGAATAACTTTTTTATTTCAGTAATTCCTGTTTTGAGGATATTGGCAATGAAGACACCTTTTATAATATGAATCATTAAAAATAGATTGAAAAGCATTGTCCTAAAAAACATATTTTTAAAAAATATTTAAGGCAGATAAGTCATTAGGGATTAAAAGGTGAGGGTCTTTGCATTTTGATTTGTACTCTTATTTTTTAATTACCCACTGTTTAAGATTATTTGAAATATTGACCAAAGATGAGAAAACTTTTCTTATCCTGTTTGAGTTTACACTATGCATAACTTCTTTGCTTTAATGAGTTAATCTAATGTTGCATTCCTTGCTCTGCAGCCAACCAAAGGCTAATGTTGATCTGGATGTATGTGTATTAAACATGTCGCAACAATACTAATAATTAGTAGCATTAATAACAAAAGAATGGGAATAACACCAGGAAGTATTATTAAAGTAGGCTTTCTTCTTCAACAGTGGCTCACTAAACCTTGTTTCAAAGCAAAAAGAAAAGAAATTCAATATTATGTTTCAAAATTACGACAGATGTAAATGTCAAAGTCTAACTTATGCTCATATGTATGGTATTAGTTGGGAGTTCTCCAAATTGAGAGGTTAGGAAGCGAATTCCTAGGAAGTGCGATGGAAAAGTCCCAAAATGGGAGGAATACAGATCTGAGGGAGAATTTTGCATTGACCAATCTAAGTTTCAAAGATATGTTTGCTTCATTACCTTTAAGCTTTACAATTATGTACATGTTCAGTGGCTGGGCACTGTATAATTAATTGATTAAATGGCACAATTGTATAAGTAATGTAAGTCTTTGAAATGGTTAGGTGCACACATTTAAGTTAGACGTTAAAGTTAGAAGTTTGCCTATTTATTTTCATAATTGCTTATGTGATTGATCCGCTGTATGTTCTCTTTTCTTAGCTGTGCAGCAAAAAGAGATCACCCAGAGCACTTCCACATCCACTATAACCTTGGTTACAAGTACTCAACCTATTTCTATGGTTACCAGTTCTGGATCTGCAAGTACACTTTCTTCCTCAGTTAATACAGACTTGCCAATTGCAACCGCTTCAGCTGATGTGGCTGCAGATATTGCTAAATATACTAGCAAAGTAAGTTCTTGAGCAAGGTTTTCTTGAAATTTTATTTTGAATTGAACTTTGACATTTTTGACATTTCAGATTCTGAAATAACTTCATTCTGAGGTTGTCATATGTTGCAAATTCATTCTACTAGGTAGGAACAGCTAGATTTTGACGAAAGTGCTGGACCATCTTTTTAGAGCTGGCTGAATGCTGCCATTCCAGGCCAGAGTGTGTCTATGATAGCCTTCAGCTGCTTGGACACTTTAGACCCTTTTCTTCTCATGTTCCCCCATTGCTGCTGCTTATTTATTCTGCATTATATTTTGGACCATTTTCTGTGTTTTCTTCTAAATGTGTAGATATCCCCTCAGTATCGTATTTACAGTAAACATTAATATTTCTTCATCTGTGTCTAGTAATACATATACAAAAATGTAGTTTTGTTGTAAAACACTAGCTTCATCAGATGGTAACTTGTCATAAGTGTGTGTTCGTGTATTAAAACTGAAGAGAAGTTGTTAAAGAGAAGATGTGGTGTGATATTTGTATCATAATAGTGACAGTGAGGGATGGGACATTAGCTTTTCATATACTCTCTCAGATCCTAAAATTAAAAAATCAAGGTGAATATTATATAAGGAAATAAAGTTGAGTACCCAGGCATTAAAAGCACCAGAATTAATGTTGACTATTAACTTTCAGTGTTCTCAAGTCAACCATATGGTCTTAGTGAGATTGTCAGTGGACAGCAATGTCAGTAAATGTATTTTTTTTTTTTTAATTGAGTTTCTTCCCCAAACTCATGTTTATATTTTTTGTTCGTAAATTATATCAATGGCAATTTCTTGGAAAAGTAGAAGGTCAAGCAGTTCACCAGTTCAGGACACTGAACTTCTAAATAGTCCTCTAAAAGTAGACCCAGATCAATATAGAGAGAGATATGGGGCATTGTTGGTAGTAATGTAAGTTCACATTAGAGTGGTTGAAAGGAAGTGAAAGTGGGTATCTATTAAAAATATATATCAAAGAATTTTTTTTTTTTTGTCTTCCAGATGATGGATGCCATCAAAGGAACAATGACTGAAATATATAACGATCTTTCAAAAAATACTACTGGAAGTACAATAGCTGAGGTTAGTGTAAGATAAATAAAATCGTACTGCTTGTATTTTAACTTTGAAAGTTGCAAAATAATATTTTTTTATATAGAAGTACCATATAACTATACCTACAAAGTATTATAAATTGAGACTGTCTGGAGATCCTCATTTCTATCCTGTTTTAGAAGTAATGGTTAGAGTGGTAGAGAAAAACACTGAAAAAATACCAGATGGGCTCAGTAAGATAAGTAGCAAGAACAGTAAGCCTTCAAGCCCAGATACTTAAAAGTTTCTGTTGAGGCTTTAATTTTGTGTCACCTTGTTTAAAATCAGAAATGAAGTCCTCTTTTTGAAGGTATCTTTCTTTCAAAGCATGTATTTGTCCACTAGAGGAAGAAGATTGGAATTTACTTGTGGTGCAGTAGCTTATTCCAGTTATGTGACTATGACCATAGTTTTTAATACTTTTAATACTTTTTGCATTTTTCATTAAATGCTATACGTTGCTTTTAATTGTCTCCAAAGGTAGTAGTTAGTATGTTTTAAGTGTTTTCTTTAAACGTGGAAAAAGAAGATTAAGCAGTGTAAACTAAGTACAAATGTGAACAACTAAAGCTCAGAGTTAAAAGTGTGATGGTTTGTTTGCTTGTTTTAACCAAAATAAGGAAGTCACAATTTTGAGCAATGATACTTGTATTCCCAATCCACAGTGAATGAAAAAATTGCTTTCCTAAGTCTCATCTAGTTAAACAATAAAAAAAAAAAGTCATACTAATAAATGCAAGCAAAACTGAGGAAGAGGTTTTTGATTCCAGTCAGAGAAATAGGAGACTCAACTAATTTCAGAGGAAGCAAGAGCAAGTTTAATAGAATTGCTTTTTGTTTTCAAACAATCCTGTACTTTTTATGGTAGGAAAATCTAACAAACAAATATTTAGAATACTTCAGACTTTTGTTTGGGGTTTACTATGGTCTTGTCTTCATGTTAGTAAGAAGGAACCTTGATGTAACCTTGATGTAACCTTGATGTAAGGCTCTTTGCTTTGGGCATGTTTTTCTGTATAATAATTATGTATTATACACTACACCTTGTTTATTATTACTAACTATTAAATTTTTAATATTTAGATTCGGCGTTTGAGGATTGAGATAGAAAAACTTCAATGGTTACATCAACAGGAACTCTCCGAAATGAAGCATAACCTAGGTATGAAAATGGCAGTCCAAAACAAATACTACAAATTGTCCAAGTGAAGGACATAAAACCATATATAATGTGCTGTGCTGATGTTAGCGGACACCTTTTGAGTATGTACACAAAGTTACTTCTTTCTGTGTGTAGTAAGCAACAAGCATTCAGCCCTCTGAGACAAATTTAGACTAAAGAGAGCTTTTGATAGGAGAGAATAATTCTTTATGCATCATTGGATAATCCCTCTTCATGAGCTATTTTATGCTGATTACTTCATTCTAATTCTCATATGAACCAGGTTCTGATAATATAGCGATTGGGGGAACCTGCTTCCTCTGGTATCTTTGGAGATTGTAGCTCACATTTTGATTCAGATCAGCTGTTGGTGTATATACTTATTTATTTAAAGTGAATAGTCAACCTTGACTCAGTCTTGATGCCAGACTGTCAGTGAAATAAATGCAAAATACTACCTTAAACAGATAAAGGAATATTCATCCTAGGAGGGGGATTTCATCTCTACATTCATTCAACCATATGGGCAGGAAATGAAAGCATGTGATTCCTCTTAAATTTTCTTTATTTAATGCACTGTCTGTGGGAAGAAGGTTGCAATTGAGTGATCAAGTCTCCTTTAAGCTACATGCAATCCAAACAGCCTTAGGACTGCGTAATACAGTGTCCTTGTCTACTTTTTGACTCTCTTTTTGCAGAGCATATCTGGAATGAAACTGAATTAAGGGCTGAATAACTCCATATTCAGACTCATGTCTTTGGTTTGTTAATACCATTTTGCTCTTTCAAATCAGGGTAGACCATTTTTTCCACTGCTGCAGTCAGTTATAACAATCTTCAGAATTACTTGGGTATGGCAACAACTTGTCTGCAACTCACAGAACTGAAGTTTTAAGTGTGGTCAGAAATAAAAGAAAAATCCTTTACACCCTTTGTCACCAGTCTTAAGCTACTGATTTAAATTAACACCTTCAATGGTGTTTTGAAAGTATGTCAACTTCAGAGTTTTTCAGAAGACTCAGAGATTCATCCTGAGTCAAGGTGGCCAGAATCGGAATGCTTTATTTGTATTTGCCCACTTTCTTGAAGATTCTGTCAAGCTGTCTTTCACTCATAGTCGCTTATAGTGACTGAGGTATCAATTCATAATTGCTTTAATAGTGGGTGCCTCTCAGAGCGATCTTGAAGTAAGGCTCAAATTTACAGCTTCATTCAGGTAATGATGAGTTTTTACAACCTTGCCAGTGTCCTGCTTGGAACTTTCATATTTTTCTTTGTAAAGAAACCAAGATACAATGGACAATTGATTTGCTGTTATTTATGAGAAAAGAGAAGCAATACAATTCTCTCTATTTTCTGAGTATTGGAGCAGAACAAAAGTTTAGGTTTGTAAAGACGAAGTATGTTAGCAGCAGCTGCATACATCCTTTTTGTGTTTATGCTGTACTTGGTACACTTGGATTCTGATCCTTTGTGGGACATAGAGAACTAAAGTGTTAGATGGAAGGTTAAGGGTAAAAATCATGGTGCCAGAGCAAGAAAAGAAGATGGAAGACTTTCATTTGTTGACTAGGTACAAAACAGAGATGCCCAAACTCAGGGAATATTTTGATTGTTAGTTTTAAATTCATGTTGTCTTTAGACTCATGAAAATTATTGGTTTGCACCTTGCTGTTGGGGAGTGGAAAATGCAAAACTCATCTTCCTTTGCATTTTGAGTAGAACTGACAATGGCTGAAATGCGTCAGAGTCTAGAACAAGAACGAGATCGTTTGATTGCTGAGGTGAAGAAGCAGCTGGAATTGGAAAAGCAGCAAGCAGTGGATGAAACTAAAAAGAAGCAGTGGTGTGCTAACTGCAAGAAAGAGGCCATTTTTTATTGCTGTTGGAATACTAGCTACTGTGACTATCCCTGCCAACAAGCTCACTGGCCTGAGCATATGAAATCGTGCACGCAATCAGGTAATCTTGCTCTGGGTTGCCTGTGTCACAGCTGAGGGGGTTAGGGTGGGTGGAATACAAGTGACTCAATATTCTGCATTTGCATGGGTGCAGATGTGCCTTGAAGAGTGACTGTGGACTGGTACACACGAGTAGCGGCTACTTTCTCTTTTTTCCTTTATTTTAGCTACTGCAACACAGCAAGAAACAGATACTGAAATTAGCACAGAAACATTAAATAAATCATCCCAGCCCAGTTCAAGTGTGCAGCCTACACCCACAGAAACAGCCAGCACCCCTAAGGAAAAGGAAGGTTCAGCTGATAAAAGCAAAGAGAGCATTACAGTGAGTATCATTGTGGTCATTTCAGACAAAAATAGTATGTAAGATTTCTCTGAAACCTACCCCTAAAGGCTTCCCTGGATCAGCCAGGAGTTTATGACCGTTTGTATATTTCAAAGAGTGTGATTTGGGGAGTGAGATAGGGAGTTGTGGGGTGTTTTTTTCTTCATCTTGGCAAAAAAAGTCTCCTTCTGCCCTCTGGGAATACCCTTTCCCCTTCACTCATTCCCAATAAAACCTGTGTTGGCTTGACTCATCCTTCCAGCCAAAGGGGACTGGACCTCTCTCTCTCTCTCTCTCCAGGACCCATCAGTGTAGCTTCTGGTCTGGATCTTACGATACAAGTTGCCTTCTGATAAGCAATACTGACTGCAGCACTTCCAAGCCCTTCTTGCCTGGGGGTTCAGAGGCCAAGCTCAAGACCTGCATTCAAATCAACTTACTTTATCACAACAGACTGCCACTAGGGTACCACAATGTTCCATAACACTGATACAACAATTCACCTGGATCTACAGTTAACGGAGCAGTGTGCAGTTATGAAATCCTCCATAGCATCTACTCTGATAGTATTCAGTAGGCAAGGATGAGCAAATGCTCTAATAAAAGGGACTTAACATTGCATATATAGAAAATGTTTATAGAGAAGATTCTGCTTTATAGGTAGGGCTTGACTATTAGCAATTTCAGCATCGTTTTTCTTCTGCCCTTGCAAGATTTATTAAATGAAAAATTTTATGGGGGGGCTGATCCTTCAAACCCTTACACGTGATCCCCCACATCAGTAGGAGCCTTGTTGTATTTTAAAATATTAAAAGCAAACTAATTTTGTAGTATTGTGATTCCAGCATGATGTCTCATTGAGATAGTCCTATAGAATTGGGAAGCATAGTAAACTAGAGAGCTGTGTTCATTTCTTGACACTTTGCTACTGTCTGGTGCTAGATCTCTGGGCTTGACATGTCATCGAAGGGAGTAACTTGGGAAACAGATTTGAACAGGCAAAAAGGATGTGCTGTTCCACCGGAATGCTTTGGTGAAGTTAGTTAAACTCTGGCTCAGTCAATGTTCATATGCATTGTTTGTGGCAGCACAACCTTTGTATTACTGGGGAAATAGGGGATGGGAGAAAATCAATTACCTAAAACTTTTGCCAGGGAATATTCCAGTTATACAAACCTGGAATTGCTTTCACATAGATGTTCTACCTGAAACATCATGCTGTATACATTGATCATGTTCATAATTTGAATTTTGTTTTATTAACAAAGAAGTAACCTGTGAATTCATTAAGATGCAAATTTTTAACACAAACAAAACATCCAACATAAATTTCATATTATAATAATAATAACAACTAGGTGGAATTTATGTAAAAGCTGAGACTTCTACTGAGGTTGCCTGTGCTGTCTCTGCAGATAGCAACAGGTGTGACAAGCAACCAGCCTATAAAACTGGTCCAGGTACCGCAGACCACCACCTATATTCCAACTACTCAACCCACAATTGTAAGTACAATATCATCATTTAAAGTCTGCAGTAGCACTGTTCCTGGCATTAAAATTGCTCAGTATTTCTGGGGGGTTGTCTCCGTCTGCTGTTCTATCACGATATGAATTCACTGGTATAGTCTCAACTTGCAGTGCAAAATGTCTTATTTTGCTGTGCAACATTCCACCCTTTCATTTCATCATTCATTATTGCAAGGATTCAGAAATTGTCATCAAGTATAGCAAAGGCACCAAGGACAGTCAGACTTCCATTTTACATTATGATGTTAGTTATTTGTCCGTTTCATGTATATACTTGACCACAACATCAATGTAAATATATAGAATTCATTTTAAATATCTTTTAAATATCTTTTTGTCTATGGTATCCTAAAGAGATTTAATTAATTCTGAGCTACGCTTGATATTCCTGTGACATCTCAGTAACTATGAAAAAAAATATGCATTCATCAGTAGTGTATCTCCCATGCAGTCTTGCACATTAGCGTTATGAAATTATGAAAAATAGCATTGGAATCAGACCTGGGTTTTTTTCATCAAAGACTTAACCAAGGACACTTGAATTCCCTAGTGTCAGTCACAGAGAATGGGACAGAAGTGAGTTCGATTTTTGTATTTTGTGCACCATAATATCCCATTTTTTCAACTGGTCATGTTCTGCAGTGCTCACTTCAGAGTCAGCATGGCATCTGAGCTGACGTTCTTCTTACCAAAAGGAAATATGCTGATACTGCACTGGTAACTGAACGGCGTGCTCCGTCTCAGTGGTGGGTTCAACAGAAAAGCCTGTGTGCGGATAACTTCAGCTCATTTGCTGACTGAAGCTAGATAATTTATAATAGTAACTACGTACTAATTTAACAGTGTACCTTAATGACACTGTGATTCAGAGGCCTAATTTGCTATAGAAGTTACTCTGTCCGTCTCTCTCCTTGTGTACACGCACCCACGTGTGCGTGCACACACCCTCCACCCCGCCCCAGCTGCAGGATACATGCCTCTGCGTGTGTGTGTCTATGAACGCACACGTACGTACAGTATTTCATAGCCATTATATTCCACACAAATGTTATTGCTCTTAGTGGGGATCATGACTTTTCACATTCCTAGCAGCATTTTAACTCAACCCATTTTGTCTCAACTGAGAGCACTTTGCACCTTTGCAGCATTAGCCCCAAGTTGCTTGGACTGAATTACCGTAACAACAAGGTTTTATATGTGTTTTGAAATCAAACAACAAAGACGTTAGGCTCTTTTGTGAATAGCTGAGAGGTTGTAAGATCATAAGGTGGTTTTGTGTAATATTCAGAAAAATGGCAGTTACCTTCTTCGGTTTTCTGTAATACAAAGTGTATTGAGTTATGTAAAGCATAATTGGAACGTCTGAAAGGTTTCAACCTTTATTTGTGCATGTTTAAAACTTTGTACACATTTGCATTAGTCTTGCACAGCTACAGACACCTCTGTATTCTAATGACTGCACGTGCAATTTAAATAATTTGGAACCTTAGTGCATGTTTAATATGTATGCAAAATGTACATATGTGTAAAACTGGCAGAGGTGGAAAATTTACCTCTCAGGGAATGATCTTAACACATTTAAGGAGTCTCGCACATTCCATATCCTGATCGCTGTAAGAACTGAAACTTAATTTTTGCATTTGTGTAAGTGTGTGTATTTAAAAGGCGACTGCGGCAACCTTAATTTCCCCACCTGTAGTACTAACGGTGACTTACATAATGGCTTCTTTAGGGTTCAATTTGCACTTTGTTTCCAACTAGGAATTTCTTCCTCTGAACAACTTCCAGTGTATCTTCTGGGTACCATTTCCATCGAAACCTCTATACGCATCCAAAATCATTACAAAATGGCAGTAATCTTGAATTTATTTAGCAAATTGGTTCCGTGTTTGGTTTTTATCCTTTCTGCAGTTAAAATAATGTAAAAATATTAATTCATCATCTTTGCATTCCAGGGAATGGAATGAGTAGGCTTCTGGAAGGCACAGACTTTGTCACAGAGGAGCTGCTAAACACTCTAGGCTGTAATCCATCTCAGTAGGGATACTCACAATCTTTGTCAAACACCATGAAGACACTAATGTGGTTTCTTAAAACAATGTGGGGAAACATTGGGCTTCAGTGAACTTGTATTTCTTCTTCCATGTTCTCTTTGGAATGTCACACTACCATCAGGGGAAGATCTGTGCATCCCTTTCAGATTCCTCAAAATCTCCCTTCCTGTTTCTTCCACAAAATATTGTGAACTGAAATGGATGCATTTGTTTGATCACCAGTTGTGCATCACTGGAATTGTATCACAACATACTTGCAGTTTGTACGGTATAGACATTTCTAGACTTTCTCACATTTTTGGAGGAAGGTTAAGATACAGACTTAAGATTCAATAAATCCTTTTCCAGATCTTCCAGAGTGATGTGACCTTGACCAGATTGTTTAACATTCTTGTGCCTTTGTCTCTGCATCTGTAGAATCAATTACCACCTATAGAGATGTCCTGAAACTTCATTTGTCAAGATTTATAAATCATGATCTGTATGATGGAAGTGAAAAGTTTATTCTATATTAATATTTTTACAGGGTGTATAAGACAGTTCCCAGTAATGCTGATGTTTTTGTTATTGATTTGTGCAAAAGTTAACTTAAGTACTTTTTTTGTTCAAATGGATGTTCTTTGTTCTCTTCTGTGTAGACTGAATGCATGGGGGAGTTCCTTCTGGGGAAAAAGATTTAAGTAACGTGTAACAAGAATATACTTATAAACAAGGGTATTTTTGTACTCCAGTTTGATTTGTCAAAACTTTTTCAAATGACAAAGGATTTTCTTAGCCCTTTTTCCTCTTCCCATGTATTAGTTTGGGGAAAATACATAACTGGATGTAGTGACTATGAAAACCTAATTCTCCAAGCACAGACAGAGTGTGTACAGTACCTATAGGACCACCTGTCCCTGTAATTATGTAGTAGTAATAATAATAATACAGAAAAACTCTTGGCTGTCGGAAAGTAGTAACACTACTTTCTACCCTGGAATCAGGTAATATTGTGGTAATAAAGGTATTAGTTCTTGCACAAAATTGGAACTTGTTCTGGATTTTCCCTGGAAAATAAATCTCTCTTTCTGTGGTCATGTTTATGTGACCTTTAACATAACAATATGTTTCTCTTGGTTTTAATCCACAGACCATTCCTGTAGTGGTAAGTCCTTCTGCTGGGACAGTGGCAATGAGAACTGGAGTTCAGTATGTTCAGACCACAATGCCAGTCCAAGTACGAAGAGTCTAACTGCTAACAAGAAGTCCATACAATTGTTGGAATAAATAAATCTAATAGAAATGTGAAAAATAAACACAGTTCTTTGGATTAACCTCAAAGGTTCAGACTTTAGCTTTGTATATGTGTACAAAGCATTAACTACACTACATTAATGTAAAGCATTAGCGCTGGCTTAGAAAAGCTGAGGACAGGTAAGATCCATATTAAATCTATGCTTCTTTTGTAAATAATGTACAATTTGTGGATGTCATTAAAGTTAGAGTACCATCTCCTTTTTATATTTGTATTGACTTTAACTTATAAAGAGCGTCTGAAGTTGGAAAAGGAAGGTTTCAAACAGCCTTATCACAAGCTAACACTGAAAACTGGTCTTGGGAAACTGCAGTTATGCATCAAATAATGTAATCATGAGAATCTGAACAACTTGATTCGCATTGGGATTGAAAAAAATTTCTGCACTTTGAAACTCTTGTGGAATTTCTTTGCGCAACCAAGTGATGAAGGGTATCTTTTTTCAGTTAATTGTATTAGGCAAATTATGACATTTCCAATCTGTGGACCTGCAATGCATAAAGATTTACATTGTTTTTTACAATGACCAGACTGTTAAAATTTATATTGTTTACAGGTTAAAAATTAAGTTAAAATTTCCTTCAGTCTAATATCAGAAAAGTTGGAAAGTGTAATACCAGCTGGTTGTAGCATGACAACCTGATGATCACTGATATCAAAGATTGAGAAAAGTAAAGTTTGTTCCTACGCTTCACAGTTCAGTTTTCTTTTTTTTAAAAAAAAAAAAAAAATCCTCCAAAAGGACTTTGAACAAGAACTAGGTGTGGAGAAAAACATGGATCAGGAAACATGGGCAAAGGACTTTTGATGCTGGGCCAGAGCATGTATTATTTATATGATGGAATTTATGTTTTTATGTAAGCATGAAACAGTACAGTATGAGAGAAAGTAACCCATGAAAATGCTGTCTGTTACACTTATACTGTAGTACCATTTTGTATGTTGTGTAAAACGAAAGCATTGAACAAAGCAAAGGTGATGTATGTATATGAGAAAATTAATTGTATGATATCATTCCAGTACATTCTGTTGTACATTTTAGTCATGTTGATTTCTCCCATTGTTTATAAAAGAATGCGGTTTGTACAGTCTCCAGCTAGTACCCATATTAGAGGGAAAAAAGTATTAGAAGAAAAAAAAAACGAGAACAGAATATTCGTGAATTGCAGTTGTGTCAAAAATAGCCTAGCTGGCCTTATTTGTGAAGCATAATTGCTTTTAGCATATGGAAGTATTTTTTCACATTTTCTTTGTATAAAATTTGTATTAAACTTAAAGATCTTTTTTGACAATTGTGTTTCTTTGTGACTAAGACAGGTGACACACACGATATGCTTTGGGTTTCTCCAATTTTTCAAGAAACTTCACAAATTTTTTATTAAACTGTTTTAGAAAAATGTTCTGTGTTCCTAGATTTCCAGTTTTGTTTCAATCTGGATGAATGTTCATTTCTGCACAGTCTCCAGATCACAGATAATTTCACTTATGTTGGGATCTCCTGTCTCAGAAGTGTGGGACCTTTGAATCCAAGCCTGTCAAATCTGAGGAAAAACAAAGCAGCGTTGGCAGTCCGTCCATAAGAAGCCAGTTACGTATAAAACTCAGTAGCATCCATTTTCTCTCAGTTTTAACAGCAGCAGAGGTCCATTGCTTGTTGTGTAAAGTTTATGCGTTGGTTGGATTGGGGTCGGACCGATGTGCGTAGTCTTGTTAGGTGTATTTGGGGTCAGAAATGGGGACGTGGATCGTGAGTACAGTTGTAGCCCTCTAAGAGGGTGTGAATTGGGCAAGACTGCTGTGTGCGACTTAATTACCTGTTAGAAGAAAGAGCAGGCCAATGGAATAGCTCACTGTGAAATCTTACTGTCAATACTGTCTTCAAGTTCCTACTCCTGTAGGTACCTTGTTAGATGCATTTGTAAAGCAACTAAAATTAATGTTCCCAGTGCTACAATCTTACAAATCTTGAAAGCTTGAAATGGTGTTTTGGCCTTCCTCATGTCATCTGAGTGCTGGTATCACTGAAACAAGCTCTCGTGTTAGGAGGAAAAAGGAAAGAGGTGGACAAGTCAAAAATTGTTATAGGAAACTACGCTGCTTTCTGAAGCCTGTGTTTTTTTCTTTTAATGGGCATTGTTTTTTCTATACAAGGGCTTTCTTTCCTCATGAGAAATAATAGGTGACCAAATCCTAGTAAAGATTTATATAAATATAAAATAACAACTCCCAACAAGAGTTATCAGGTCAAGATCAAAATAACATCTTGGATGTTCTGGTGACTGTATTTTTTCCACATTTTAGCTAGTTACGGTATGAAGTTCATGTTTTTCTGATTATTATTTTGCGTTAACTGAAGTGAAGGAAGAACACATCTCTGGCTTGGACATTACGGGAGGAGATGACACTGATGTGACATGAATTTGAAAGACAGGCTGCGACTTTAATGTACGACTGAACGCCATGACTAGGCATAAGCTGCATCCATCACTTGTGCCTGGAGTATCCCTCTACCCGATGTAGTGTGTCCCTTGTTTGTTTCGGATCCAATTTTTTTTGGAAAAATTAATGCGTTGGGTCTGGAATTTTTACCTCTTTCTGGTGGTGACAGTTCATCAGTTGTGGTACCTGACTCAGTCCTGGACTGAAGACAGAGTCTGGGTGGCTGCCCCTTCATCGTCCAGCTGCAAAGGGCGCTGCCAATGACCCGCTCTTGAGGTGACGGCGGGCGGGGGCAGTAAACTGTAAATAATGAGAAGCCTCTTTGGCCAGGCACCACCCTGGGGAAGCTTCCTTTGCTTCAGCTACAGGCACTGGCTGTCCCTCGGGTTTGCCATCCTCTGTTACAACCTACTGAAGACGTGTGGGCATACTACTGCTGATTCCTCTGGTCTGGGGGACAAAATTAACTTGTCTTGGAGTTTGAGCTTAGAAATCTCTATATTATTATTATTGTAATCGATCATCACGTGGGCCTTCCGTTAGGAGGAAGGAGGGGAGGCTGACACTGGTGTTCCTTATCTAGGCCAGTCAGCTCCAAAGCGTTACTGGGCTGTGGCAGTATTTTCCTGGGTTTAGCGTTAGTTCAGGAAGGCAGGTGCTAATACCGCATTCAAGGTGGTCTGAGGTTTTGGTTTAGCCCCCCAGACGGTGTGGTCTGGATGGAGTTCACCACAGCAAGGTTTCATCGCAGGGGCCCCACGTCGGCATAGGGATGCAGGGAGCAGACGCAGGAAGCTGGATCCGCGCCACGTCCAAACTGGAACCTTGCAGGCTGGCAATGGATGCAGGGCTTCAGAATTTGCCATCGGTTGCGCTGTCGCCCTCTTATGCCGGTGCTTGCTGAATTAGCTTTTCGGCGCTTAAATCATAGAAATGTAAGTGCTGATATTGCAGAGGAACATGGAGCAGCCACAAGGAACGTTCTCTGCCCAGAGCCGTAGGCTCCTCGGCTTTTCATCCTCCTCAGTGCAGAGGTGTCGGGTCAGAAGGGCTGCTCCAGGTGCTGCTGCCCATGCCCTGTTGAGGCAAATCTGCAGCCCGTTCAGTGCCGGGTTTTTCATCCTTTACACGGAGAGGTAGAACCATGGGACCAAAGTCCCTCTGGAAAGTTACCCTTTCTTGGTGAATCACAGCGGCTGGTTTTAAAAACAATTGCACAGCTGCACCTTAATTGAAGGCGTTCTAGAAACCATGAGATTTCTATTTTTCTTCCTTTTAAAAAAATCATTTTTATACAAAATACCGCTCTTTGGTCCTTGTCCAGTGCCCAGTGTTAGCTCTGCTATGCTTGCCTTATGTCCCGTTGTGCACCTCACAGGAAAATGCCCATACGCTGAGAATCTGGGTTTGTGTACCCAGGCCAGGCAGGAGGGCCACGACTCAGGAGCTGGAAGTGGCGCTGG